AACCCTTCCCTGGACAAAGCCTCAGGCTTGGCAGAGGCACCACAGAGATAAGCGCTCCTGGTCAGAGATGAGGACCTCCCTCCATCATCAAAGACCATGTGTGTCCCAGCACCCCTGGTTCCCAACAGAAACTCCGCATATTCCAAGAGTAGACAGTTTACCTTTGGTGCTCCAACCCAAGACAGCGCAGGGAGAGGCACAGCCCCCCCCAAACCACTGGTCTTGTCCACTCTAGTACCTTGGCATAAATCTTGCTAATATGGAGTCCTCATGGCTGGACGAACTTATTTGTTTGAGAAACAGGAGATGGGAGGAAATAATGAGGGGTGTGGAGACTCTGAGGTTGCCCAGCAGGGAAACACAGTGTTGGCAAGCCTTGTGAGGCCCCTGACACCTTTGTCAGGGATGAGGGAAGCAGATAATGGAAAGCTGTGGGGTGGCTGCAGGAATGTGGTCACAGCTTTCACGCTGATGGAGAATTTGAAACCCAATTCCAGCCTCTGAGGATTCGGAGAGGGACATGGATGATCCTGAGTGGGCAGCCCAGAGCCCAGCAGACCGAAGCAACAGAGACCCAAGCACAGGGACAGGTGGGACTCCTCTCTCCGGTGGGCAAAGAGCAGAGAGGGGGCAGGAGAGGCAGCCACAGAGCCTGGGGACCACTCTCAACGTGGTCCCCTCTCCCTCTGCCCCGCCCACAGGCACTGGTGGGTGTGTGGGTACCAGGCACGTGGCTTGGCCATCCTGATTCCAAGTCCAGTCCTTCCCCTGCCTGAATAGCAAGCTGACCTCCACACCTCCTCTGGCATCCTGGCCCCTCATCCAGCCCAAGACTTGCCAACCTCACCTTGTGAATATGTGCCCTGTCCTCCTCCACCTCCATCCCCGGTCCCCACCTGCAGTCACAGTGTTCTTCCTGACTCAGCAGCAATGACAAGCCCTGCTTTGGCATGGGCAGTGAGCCGGCTACTGTCTAAGCACATCCCAGCCTGCCCCGCATGGTCCACAGGGAAGGCCCCTTCCACACAGACCCCACCCACGTCTGCAGAGGCACCCCATGTCCCTTGCAGTCCAGACCTGACGTCATCCTGACCTGAGTGTCTTTGAGGACTAGGATGTAAGCCAAGTCTGTCATTCGCAATGGCCTAGTGGCTGCACTTCAAGGTAAAGAAACCAATGACAAAATGATGTAGAAGAAATGAATGCAGATTGCTGGGAGAGCAAAAGGCTCCCCTGTAACTCCAGCCACAGGACATTCTGGAAGGTGAAGAACTCTGGTGACAACGAAAAGATCAGTGTGGCCGGGGGCTGTGTGACACCATGGTGCTGAGCATGTGTCTCCATACCTTTGTCTAGCACTGAGAGAGGCTCCTTCTCTCTTCTGGGCGCTCTGGTGATAATGATGTGCACACGTAGGTTCATCGTTGCAGCAGACGTGCCACTCCGTTGACACCGGGAGAGGCTGGCGCGTGTTGCTAAGGAGGAAGCGTGAACTCAGCTTTGCCCGGAGCCTAAAACAGCAATAAAAAATGAAGTCTATTAATTAACAGTAGGCGTAGGTGAAATTAATTTTGATAATAGATTTTAATTAACTCAATATATCCAGCATATTATTATGTCAATATGTAATGTATATAAACGTGATAATGAGATATTTTGCATTTGTTAATGACCTGACTTTGAAATCAATGTATGTTTATAACAACAGTGCTTTTCAGCTCAGGTAAGACAGCCACACTCTGAGTGCTAGGCAGGGTCGTGTGGTCAGTAGGTGCTGTATTTTGGAGCAGGTCCAGCCTTCTCTGTGGCCCTGGGGACCACATTCCACCCCTGCCCATCCCTTCAGCCTCAGGCCCTGCTGTCTCTCAGCCTGGTCCAGTCCACCAGTTACTCTACTCTGCTCCCCAGCGGACTCCTACGTGTCAGTCAGACATGGCTCAGGTGCCGACTTGCAGGCAGCAGAATAATGACATCCATGTCCTGATCCCAGAGGCTGTGATGCAGGTGGGACTTGGGATTTATGGGGTATCCACAAGTCCCTTATGTGATCACCGGGAGCCTGAGGGGTTTGTCCATAAAAGTAGACCTGTGACAGAGGACACAGAGAGTGGAGGAGTGTACTTTGAAGATGGAGGCAGGAGTGTTGGGCTAAGGATTTCGGGTGGCTTTCTAGAAGGCAGAATAGACAAGGACACAAATTGTCTCCTAGGGCTTCCAGAAGAAGCCAATACCTTGATTTTAGCCCCTGAAACCTGTTGCAGACATGAGTGAACCGTGCTATCATAAATCTACTCGTGTTTTAAGCTGCTGTGTTTGCGGGACCCTCATCCACCTTCCTGAGGATGTCTACCCAGCAGGTGTCCCAGCCTCTGAGCCTGGAACCCACCCCCACCCAGGGCCTCCTCACAAGAGTAGAGATGCTGGGATAGAAAGTGACAGATTTAGGAGGAAAAGTCAGCAAGATAAGAATGGTTTAGATGTGGTGGGGGAGAAGCCTGGAGGGCTAAGCATGACCCTGGGTCCCCCTCTCTGTTCGAGACACCCTTCTTAGTATCTCCCAGCATTCACTGGATGTGTCCAGTGGTGTCATTGCCTGTCACTGCAATGTCTAGCTCTTCTCTCTTTCTCTCTCAATCTGTGTGTGTGTGTGTGTGTGTGTGTCCCTGTCTGAGTCTTTCTCTGTCTCTGTCTCTCTCTAGAATGCGCCTTTCATTCCGGTGTCCACCATGCAATGTACACACACTGGGTAGCTAAAAGACTGAAATGTCTTCTTTCATGGCTGTGGATGTCAGAAGCCTGAGATCAGTGTCACAGGATTGGTTCCTTCTTGAGGCCAAGGGTGAATCTGCTCCCTGTTTCCCCAATTCTTGGGGGCTGTAGACCACTGTCTGTGGCCATGGCCCTTTACTTTTGGCTTGGTTTTCACATGGTCCCTACCCCTTGTGTCTGTCTCTGCATCCCAGTTTCCCTTTTCCAGACCCAGTCACATGGATTTGTGACCTCCTCTTGATATTATTACATCTGCCAAGACCCTGTTTTCAAGGCCACATTCATAGGTTCTGGGTGAAGTGAGGACCAATGCCCCTCCCAACCCAGGACCAACGCCCCTCCCTAGCCAAGAACAACCTCTCCCTTCTTCCCTCAAGTCTCTGCACATGTCACTCATCCAAGGGGCCCTCCCTGCCACTGCCTCTGAGACAGCCATCCTGCAGCCTCTTGACCCTTCATCCCTCTGCTGTTCCTCCCCTTCCCAGGGGAGGGGTGGGCTGTGAGGGGTTTGGGGGTAGAGTCAATAGGTGGGTCTTGGAGATGGCTAGGTGGGGGAAAGGGAGAGGAGCCCGGAGGAGTTTCATGACACTAAACTCACAGGCCTTGAGCTCATAAACAGCTATTTGCTTGCTCAGGGTTCTGGAATGCCCCGGTCTCTGGATCGATCCCTTGCTAATGGGCCCCTCGCTCCCTCCTTCCTAAAGAAAATCAATCCTCCCAGGTTTTGCTGGCAAATTCTCCCTGATTACACCTCCACGGGTGGGCGCGTCTTTGTTCTCTCCAACCAGGTCCTCTCTGGGGAGGCCAGAGCAGCCAGAGGCCAGATGGCTCCCCGGGCCTGTGGCCCCCTTGTGGGCAATCCTGGGAGCAGGAGGGCTACAGGGTGCTGGGGGCTGCTTCTTGTCCTGGTGTGGGAAGGGCCTCATGACCCTGAGGTCTATGAAGGACACAACCGCTGGGGTGTGTGGCAACATGGCCACCAAACCCAGAGATGATCAACGGGACTCATTTTTCTGGAGCCTCAGCTTCACTTGAGGATGTGGGGGGAATTGTGTCCACATGGGAACGCCAAGGAGGCTTTGGGGCAGGGAACTGGAAAGCCCTGTGGGGTGGTGTGTCTGTTTGATGGCTCTAGGCTCCACTCGGCCCCAGGGCACCCAGGGGGGCAAGTGTGAAGAGCACTGGCCTCCTCTAGCCCTCTGTAGGCCATGCAGCAAGTCAGGTGGCAATGTAGCTAGGGTTAAGCCCAGGCCCCACATGGGACGGGGGTCTGAGGGTCCAGCCTGACTCCCCCAGTACAGCCTGGGCACATTCTGTAATTCTGGTATGTTTTAATGGGTGATCATAGAAGGCCGTGGTTTCAGGGTCACTGATACCTTAAGCTTCAATGTGGAATTGATTCCATGCTCTGAAAGTACCTGTGGCTTCCAAACATCAGAGGTGACATGCTCTTAGCTGGCTTCTCCTTCTTGGTGGTGGTAGGCCAGGTTTGCAGTGCTCAGAAAGCTATTGCAAGGTCTCACTCACATCATCCCATGTGACAGGTGAGGAGTGTGGCCAGGAGGGACTTAGGCGTATAGTCACCAGCCTGCTTTCTACCCCAGGTGCCCGCTTCCAGCAGCACAGTGCCTGGGGTCCGTTTTCCAGCAGGTGTGCGTTCACCCTGTGGTCCTGTGCTCAAGGTATCCCTCAACCAGGAGGGGATCCTGGAGGATCCAAGGGTCCAGAAGGAGAGGCAATGAGTAGGTGGACACTGTGGGGTCTTAACACAGTTGGTGTATGTTCTGGGTGGCCATCAGACTGTGGCTTAGAATCACGTGGGCCAGCATTTGAACCTCAAGTTGGCTGCTTAATGGTAGAGTGATCTCAGACAGAACACTGTCACCTCAGGGACTCCTTCTGGTCATCTGTGAGATGGACCACGTGACACAGTCCATCCGGGGGACTTTGCAAGGCATCAAAGAGTCAGAGTGGTCTAGAAGTGCTGGTAGGGATTCAGAGTCAGAAAGACCTGACTTCTCATCCTTGCTCTAGGCCTGGGTTCTAGCTCTCTGTTCCCAAGGGAGCCCTCACTCCCCAGCTGCAACTGAGGACATACTGCTAGTGGAAGGATGGGAAGGATGGCCCTCGGGTGTCTTGCGTTTCTTTTGTGCTGCGCTGGATGTGCTGTGGGGTTGATGAATGCAGCCCCTGGAGGGCTCATACTGACAGCTGCCTCCCTGTTCCCCCAGGTCTTCGGACTTCGGGACATCCTACACCAAGCTCACCCTCCAGCCTGGTGTCACCACTGTCATCGACAACTTCTACATCTGCCCAACCAACAAGAGAAAGGTATGTGCCTGCCCAGGGAGGCTAACCCTTGGATTCTGGCTCCCCATGGCCTCTTGTCTTTTCTGCTTTGGGAAAGTGGCCCCGAGTATGTGTTTATCTCCTCGTCTTGCCGATGATTACTTTAACCCATTTTGATGAATGCATTTTAAGCCACCAGCCAGGGCTTTGGAGAAAGGTCTGCCTGCCGTATCTGGGGCACATTTATCTTCTCCTGCCCTGGAGGGAGCATCCATCAGGCACACGGGAAGGAGCTGGCAACCAGAAACCGGCTCCTGGCACAGAGTACTGGAAGCAGCGTTGAGCTGCTGTTCAGAAGGGTTTCTGTCTCTCCAGGGCTGATTTGGTTTCTCATCTGAGCTTTTCTTGCTCTCTTGGTATGAGATGAGTTTTCTGGCTTTGCTTTTTTGGCTGGTGGAACAGGGAAATTTGTCATTCCAAGGTCACCTACTCACCAACTTCCATGAGGATACCTTTCCTGCAGATGTGTGGCTGCGTCCTGGCCCACCTGGGGGCCCCAGAGCAAGGTCAGAGAAGCACCAGGATGAAATCAACTTGTGTACTTGACTCCATTCATAGAAGCAGTTTGACCACAGATCAAGTTCTGGTTCACCTTTATGACTTAGTTTCATCATAGGAAAATGGGGTATAACCCACACCTCACAAAGAATTGTCTGAACCCCACATGGTGTTGGCACAAGGCCATCACTTGGGCCACCAGAGCTGTCCAGTGGTGGTTTTAAAGGAGAGATCACAGCAGCTTTGTGACTGGACCCAGATCCAACTGCTCACTGTTCGAGAGCCAGTACTCTCAAGATAAGAGTTGTGGCATGGAAATCAGGTTTTTCCAAGGGCCAGCCCTAGAAGATGGAGGAGCTATGGTCCTCAAAGCTCTCTCTTGGGGGACTCAGGTACATGAAAGGGCTATTACAGGGAGGAAGAGGAACACACAGGGCAATCACCAGGATGACTGCATTCCTGGCAGGTCATGTGTCTCCTTTTGTCTCCCTCTGGCTAGGTCATTGAATCTGACCTTGGCCTCCTGGGGCCAGTTACAAACATAGTACTTTTCTGCAAGTTAAACATCATAGCTGTTTGCAGGCTTTGTGTTGGCTGGTGCACAGAATTGGAGTATAAGGAAAGCATTGCAGGTTCTGATGTTATCTGAGGGTCAGCAGATGGTCTGGGTTCTGTACTAAAGAAAGATCATTTAGCAGTTAATGTCATAATCATCCAAGTGAGGCTTTTCTTTAGAATTCAGGATGCTGGACGAAGGGAGGGAAGCGATGTGTAAAGAGCAACTCCAAAGGAGTGGACACTTTTGCAGCTTGTAGCCTGTGCTGGCAGATGCCCAGAGACACAGAGGGATCAGCAGGGACTGATCTGAGGGGATTCTTCTGAGACCAAAGCCCTATGACAGATCAGTTGGATGAGAGGACAGTGACCCACAAAGACACTTGCTGGCTATGGAGAAGCCTCAGCTGATTTGATAATGGGACATCTGCTTGCTTTCTGAACCCTATTGTCTTGTTTTGCATTTTCCTCTCCTTGAATTCCACTGTTGTGCAAGCTTCCTGGTGGACAGACAGGAACATGGGGTGGGAGAGCTTCTGCAGGGGTTGGGAAGCCCTTGCCCTGGGGCACAGGGAGGTGGGGAGTAAGCCACCCCTGCTCCTTCCTAGAGCTACACACACACACACACACACACACGGCTTCACACAGGTGATCTCTCTCTACACACACACACACACACACACACACACACACACACACACACACCCCACACACGGCTTCACACAGGTGATCTCTCTCTATCCACAGCAGCCAAAGGACAGTGGTGTTATAATCCCATTCTCCAGGTCAGAACACTGGGCTTGGGAAGGTGAGACTCACCCAATCACACAGCTGCTGGTGGGAGGCCTGGCTCTGAACTCAGCTTCATCTGAGTGTGAAGCCAAGCCTTTGCCCAGGCTCAGAGCAGCACGGGGGCAGTGAAGTCAGACAGACTGCTTCTGCATGGACCAGCCTGGGGACATGACCTTCCGGTGAGCCTCAGCCTTGGCCTATAGAGTAGGAAGGTGACTGAAGGGCTAACAGGATGATGCATGTAATGTGCGGGGCTCTTCAAAGAGGTTTCTAGCTGGGGGCCTCTGTGCAGGCTAGAAGGTGGGTACCCATTGGGATGCCAGTCAGAGCTTCTATCAGGCAGTGCTGGGGCAGGAGAACGGGCAGTGAGGTGTCTGTAGCTTTAAAAGATGCACAATTCCTGAGAAGGGAGATTTGAATGCCTCCTTAGAGCTGGTGTAACTTGAACATTTAGCTTAGAAATATCACTGAGGGGCTGGAAGACTGGTTCTGATGGGGCCTGGTGCCCAGCACAGGGGCTGAGCTGATTTAAATTAGTGTGGTGATTGAGTGAATGAATGAATGAATGCCACAAACTGCAGCATGTCCTGCTGGCTGGGTGCTCAGCATCGCCCCTGGAGTTCCCTGCATCTGGCAGAACAGGTGCCGAGGGCCCACCATACACTGGGTGGAGGGCCGAGGCCAAATGCACACTGAACTTGGGTTGCTCAGGCATGGACGCTGCATTTGGAGGGTATCCAGGGAATGACACCTGGCTAGGGACTTCCCATTCTTGTACCCCTTGGAGATACTGGGATGTGGAAGGGAACAGAGCAGTAGGGTTGCCCAGAGGCTGAACCATCTGTTTCTCAGTGGGAGTTTGGGGGCTCTGAGCCAGCCTGATAACCTGTGACCTCCAGCAAGTTCTGCAGCCATCTGGTCCCAGTTTCCTCCTTGTGGAGTGGGGGAATCTCAGCTCTATATGACAGTGTGATGGAATTAATGAGGAGTCAATGCCAGTGCTCAGAGCAAGAGCCCAAGCAGTCCTGAGGTCCGAGGCAGAGACACTGAGGTCTCTACTTGTAACGACTTCTGGGTTAGGAACTGGTTCCAGGGTGATGAGTCCTCAGCCATGTGTCCTGGGAGCTGTGTGTGTCAGTGGGCTGAGACCTGGCCTACAGAGCAAAGGTCTGGGCCAGATGTCTAGGCAGCATTGAGCAGGCCTTGCTGACCACCAGCCCAGCTCCCCAGCCAGCTCAGGCTGTGTGCTGTTGCCATAGCCTGCCACCCTGCTCTGTGTTCCAAGAACCAATTAATTATCAGTGATGGGAGCGAGGCCAGCGCTTTGTTATCTAGTGGCATACGCTTCCTGGTGGTGTCCTGGGCACCCCGAGCCTCTACTTCCCTAGAACGAAGCAGCTGCCCCACTGCCTGCAGAGGTGTGAGCTGGATGGCTGCCATCTCCTGGGAAGGAGTCAGGGAGGACAATGTGGGCAGAGGGTCCAACCTGGGGCTACAGGCTGCACTGTTTGCTAGCAGCATAACTGTGGCAAGCTGATTAATCTCTTCATGCCTCAGTTGCCCTGTCTGTAAGTAGGGTCACCACAGTCGAGAATTACATGAGTTGACAGCAGTCACTAATACTCACTACTTCATTTTCCATGGCTCATGTGCCACAGTCAGTGATGGTTTGAAAATATCAAATCGAAGATTCCAGAGGTTTTGAATTGGGTGCCACTTAGTGTAGTGTGATGAAATCTCATCCCGTCCCCCTCCATCTTGCCTTGGACATGAATCATCCTATTGGCCCGAGCATCCACACTGTACGTCCTACTGCCTCTTAGTCACTTAGCCTTCTCAGCTATTGACTATCACGGTATCACAGTGCCATGTTCACAGAACCCATACTTTACTCATTAATGGCCCCAAAGCACAAAGGCAAAGATCCTGGCCACTTGGAGCTGCCAAAGGAGAAGGGTGAAGTGCTTCCTTTAAGTGGAAAGGTGACAGCATATCATGGGTGTGTGTGAGTAGGAAAGACAGTATATAGGGCTTGGTACTTCTGGGGTTCCAGGGGTCCACTGGAAGTCTTGGAGTGCAGCCCCCATAGATAAGAGGGATGCTGTATATGCAACACACCTAGAAGAAAGCCTGGCACATAGCAAAGCTGTGCACCCAGAGGTTTTCCTGTAATAGAGTGCTTAAGAGGGAGGGTGTGTGTGTGTGTGTGTCTTGATTTGTTTTTAAATGCATTTAGAGGCAGAAAAGCCACTATCACTATTACAGAAAGAATGGATGTGTGAGCAGAAATGAGAGAAAACTCAGGGAACCAGGGCTGGCAAGCATCAGAAGAGGGCTCTGGGGAGCAGCCAGTGTGGACTGCTTAGCAGTGAGGGATGTGTTCCTCAGCCCTTGGCCAGTGCTCTGGACTGGGGAGGCTGGGCTGGGGAGGGACCCTTCCGAGGGAAGATTTCAACGTGACCTAAAGCAAATGCATCCTTTCTTTATTGCGTTAGTTTATCTATTCATTTGCAGTTCCCTGATTCCTTCAGCCGCCCACTGGTGACCATTCATACTGTGCCAGGCCTGGGCTAGCAGCAGATTCATATATGTGGGCAGGGATGGGTGTCACGTGGGAGTTGTCGTGATGGGGAAACTGAGGCTCAGGGAAGCTGGAGGTCTCCCATGCTTACACAGTGGGTACACAGACAAGAGCAGTCATCAAAACATTGTACTTGGCCTTGGGCAAGGATTAGAACCCAGATTGCCAGACTCTGGATCCCCCACCTTGCCACACTTCAGGTTCACTGGGCACCCTTGTAGCAAAGTTCAGGGAGCCAGTGGGATTCCTCATGCAAGCCCAGCCCAGCCCAGGCTGGAGGCAGGAGATGGTCATCTCTGTCAGGCTCAGTCTGACAGTACTGAAACGTGCAATCTGAGCACATCCTGTGTCTGTTTTGGGCCTCAGTTTCCCCATCTGTCACTGAGGAGGTTAGCCTAAGCTCTCCAAAACTCCTCCCAGCTCCAACATCCTGGCCTCTCCTAGGGAGACCCTGGGCAGAATCCCAGCTCTGTCCTGCCCTCTCCTATTATAGGAGGGCAGTCACATCTCTGAGCTATCTTTCAACACCCATGCCATCTACTTGCAGATCCAGGCC